CAAGCAAATGCATCCCTGCTGGCTCAGCAGTAGCGCGGGAGCCTGAGAGTGAGCGAGGTGTCATTGCTCTCTGCCTCAAGGAGAGGTTGGCAGCCGTGGGGGTATCAGAAACATCGTGTCGGGGCTGGGTTGAAGGGGGTGGAAGGGTAGCACCGCCAGCAGTGCTATTTTAGGATGCCTGATTCACGGGGGAAGCCTGCCGAGGCCAGGCATCCCAGCTCCGCCTGCCCGTGCTTCTCCTTAGCATTGTTGCTGAATTTAGCTCTCTCCTCCGCAGGAAGATGCGGGATCCCGGGCAATGAACAACCTCCGGAGGTCCAACAGCACCACCCACGTTAACCAGCGGGTGAACAGCACGCACAGGTACAGCTCCAGCCACCAATGTGTGTCTGTCTGTCCTGTGGATGGGACTGTGTGAAAACCCACCCATCTGTCTGACCTCTCATCCTGGGAGGGAACCAGAGCCTTTCAAAAATGTGCATTAAGCTCTGTCATACACATCAGAGGTTATAATCCGGCCTTGGAAAGCCAAGGACTGTGTTTTTGTTTGGGTTTTTTTGGAGGCGAGGTCACTTGATTAGGATTTGGGGAAACAGAGTGTATTTCTGCAGCTGGAAAGCCTCTGTCACAAAGGACACTCAGTTTAATTCCAAGGGATGGGACTGTTCAATTACAACAGCCCCTCCTGGACCCTTTGGATCATAACTGGACTGTGTTAGGAGACGAAAAGTTCTCCTTATGTCCCCAGTGACCTCCTAGGGCTGTCTCTGAATCATGATTTTCCGTTCTCTTGTTGCCTTGTACCCATCCCTTTAATATATTCTATTTCCGCACATCAGGCTGAAATCTAAAGCTCTGTGTAAAAACGAATAATTTGTAGATTTCATGACTAGGTAATGATTTTCCATCCCTTTTCTCCTCTGTGTCGCAATGGCAGGCGGTAGGTGTGCCTCGGCTCTATGCTGTGCGTGTGTCAGAGTGCCCTGCCGCAATCAGAGCGTGCTTCTCGCTGGAGCAGCCTGTGCGGGATGAGAACCCTGCTATTGCTGTCTCGTTGCCATGTGTCTACATGCAATATTAACTCCAGAATACGTGTTCTCTCCTCCTCTCTGCTTTCCCTGGATTCGGGCTAAAGCTCAGAGCAGGCGGGAGAATTACTGAGACTTCCTGACCTTCTTTGAGAGCGGTGCCGGGGGCAGAAAGAAACTGGCGAGTCTGAGCAAAACCTCCCCGGAAAAGAAAACCACGTGGAACATCTTGGTGAGGACAGTGGCCTTCTGGGGTCAGTGGGCTACGGCACCTCTGCTGGCCTGAGGGGTTAGCTGGCTTTGGTGGAGGAGTGGGAGGGTTTCCCTAGACCCGAGGATCCGTGGGTACTTGCTCAGCCTGCAGTCAAAGCTGGCATGGTTTGAATGGCCAGCGTGCTCGGCCAGTCCTCTAGCCTGCCTTGGTCTTGCCTCTGGCCCAGCGCTTTTGGCCGATCACCTCTGTGCTCCTGGCTTCTGATGGAGGCAGGCAGAGGCGCAGGCAAAGCCTGGAGGCTGCCGTGCTGTGGAACGGAGGTTTCTCGTATGGGGGAGAAACTGGCTTGTGAAGGAAGAGGGTGGTGTTTGAGGATGTGGGGTTGGTACTTGCCTGCCCATCCTTACCCCTGCTGACTCCGTGGCAGGATGATCAGCCACGAGTGTTCCCGGGCCCCTCCAGCTCCCACGGCATTGAGCCGCCAGCAGGCATGAGGAGGAAAGAAGCCACTGTGCTCCTGGCAGCCAACTTCACTGCCAACAACAGGTAGGAGAGGCGGCGCTTAACCAGAGCTGGTCTGGTGTTGGGAGGACCTACACCGAGGAGACACCCGAGCAGAGGAGGGGGTGCCAGAGCTGCCCCTCTGCTGGGACACGGGGGTCAAGTGTGGGGCAGCCCATGACGGTGTGCTGGGCTGGCTGGCCAGGACTGGCTCGGAAGCTGCGCAGAAGCTTGATGGATGCATGGGAGAGGCTGCTCTTGCTCCAGGAAAGGGAATGAGTAAAACTTGAACCCTTCAGGGCCAGGAGAGACTTAAGCCAAGGCTGTATGTAGAACGCCCTGAAGAGCGGGCTGTTAGGTGTGCGCGGGCTGTGTCTGTGCGTCAGGTACTGAGCTACCACGGAGCGAGCTCTAGAGAGCGGGCAAGTCGCTTCTGAGGCCTCACCGGCTCGTCGCCTTGGGGCACGCTCGAGATGGTCACGGGTGGGTTGAGGGTTGCAGTACAGGGAGCATCCCTACTGGGGCTGTCCCCTTCAGATCCAGCAAGTCCTAATGCCTTGTCTTCTCTCCACAAAAGGAGCAACAAGGGTGCAATGGGAAACTCTGTCACCACCATGGTGCACAACAACTACTCCACCACTGAGAAGGGTCCTGCGCCCAAGAGCTCCAACCAGGCACCCAGCTCCCTCAAGTAAGTGTGGTGAGGTCCTGGCTTGGAGGCTGTGCTGACCCCGTGTTCACGTGCAGATGTGGCACGGGACAGGGCAGGATGGTGCCAAGTAGCTTCATCTTCTGCCTTAGCAATGTTGTGAAAGCAACGTCAAATGAGGACAGCGAAAGCAGCAGCTTCGTGAAGTCTCAGAAGAATTTCTCCAGCAACAACATCATGACCCGCAACAACAACAGCAGCCTGCCCCGGAGGAAGGAGGTGACTGAGGAGGAGGCAGAGAGGTGAGGTGGAGCCAGTGCATGATGGCTGGTGGGAAGAGGCAGGAAGGACGGTGTCAGGTGGAGGGGTGAGCTCCAGGGGAGCTGGTACTGGTTTATTCCTGTCCTGTGGGGCTCCATATTTGGGAAGGGGCCCTCTTTGTGTACCCACAGTGGCTCAATTACCCTCCCTGTGACTTGGCTCTGTGCTTTGAGTTGTCCTCATCAGAGGCACAAGTTCCTTCTGCCCCAAAAGTCAGCCTGGGAAAGGTCCTTATTGAGTCAGGGTGTGAGGGGACAGAAGAGGTCCCGGTGCCCTGGCGAGCAGCCTGCGCTCTGCTGCAGCAGGACGGGGTGGTGCTGCCCGGCCGTCAGCCCAGGAGGACCCCAGGGCCTCACTGACCTTCCCTCTCCCCACAGGTTCATCCAGCAGGTGAACCTGGCCGCCGTCACCATCCAGCGCTGGTACCGACGCCACTCGCAACGGCGTAAGGCAGGAGCAGCGGCTCTAGGGCGCTTGCTGGCTTCCAAAAGGGAGGTCAGTCCTGTCCTCTGCCTTGTAGTGCAGACCATTCCGACACCCAGGAGTCCCGCTCGCCTCGCTGGCAGGGGAATTTGAAGTCCCTTTTGTCACCAGACCCTCCGACCGAGACCTGAGCTGTCGGAGACTAGGAGGCCTTGGCTTTGTATCTAACCAGCCTCTCGCGGTCCAGGGAGCCGGGGCGGGGGGTCCCGTCCCTGCAGAGATGTGCGGCTGTGTAGGGGGGAGGCACAGCTTTGGTTCCAGGGGGAGTTCAGGCTGGGAGCCCCTGGGCTCAGCGCTGACCGGCTCTGGTCTACCAGCTCCCTTCAGCTGTGAGCAGGCAGACGCTTGGCAGTAGCGGCACAAATCTGAATTCTTATTGTCTCAGACACGCTGGTGGCTAGAGGAGGGATACCCTGTCTCGGCTCATCGTAGCGAATCGGTAACGAGTGGCTCATTAGAGAGTGACGAGTCATCTGCAGCTATTTGTGTTTCTTTGTGTTGAATTATTTATCCCAATAACAAAGAGTACCATAGCTCTTTGCATGTGAGTCTATTTTTAAGCCTTGTCTCCTTGGTGGTTTCAGACCCAGATGACTAATAATTACATTCCGTATCTAAAGGAAATAAACTGTTCTAAAATGGAGCTTTTCTGAGGACTCTTCACCTGTGTGGAGGGGGGGATTGAGGGGATGGAAAGCTTGGGTATGGGGTGACCTCAGGTGTGTTGTGCCCTTTACCTCTTCCCCGCTGTGGGTGGTGGGTGCTGAACAGCTCCCGGTAACATTTTTGACCCTCTCCTCTGGAAGGAAAGGCAGCAGCGGATGGAGGAAGGGAATATCTTGGATTTGCACGAGAGAAAGGATGAGGAACGGCGGAAGATCCGAGAGGAGAAGGCGCGCCTGGCCCGACGTGCTGCCATCCAGGTAGGGACAAGGCAAGGCCTGCGCGAGACCAGTTTGTTGGCATCTGTTTGTGAGGCAGTGAGAGGGCCTCTCCTCTGCATCTCTCGGGGCTTTGCGTGAAGCAGAATTAGAGCCAGCCTTGGAAATGGAGTGCTCCCTACGGAGACGGAGGTGCCATAGAGCGGTTTTCCGTTGTGCTCCTGCCAAGCCTTGGCAGCTCATTCGGAGCTTGCGAAGACAGCGCTGATTTTGATCTGGTTCTCGGGGAAAGGGTGACCACACTGAAACAGGGAGACTGTAACTGCAGCTCCTTGGAGTGGCCGAGGATGAGAGTGGCCTGGGAAGGGGACCCTCCTCGGGAACGGGGACCCCCCAGGGTGGGCTGAGCGCTGTGCTGTGCCTGCTGGCAGGAACCACCTCGCCGTCTTCACCCTGTTCTTGCAGCTGCCTCTGCAGCAGGAGAGGGCTGGTGCTCCTGGGGCACAGACGAGGGGCCGGCGCAGACTCTGGGGAGTTGTATGCTGGCTTGCAGTATAACTAAAGACTTTTTTTTTAAAACCCCAATTTCTCTTTGCCCTAAATGGAATCATGTTTCATCGGGGGGGTCACAGGAGACACAGCAGTGAGCAGCTGGAGGACGGCACAATGCTGCAACAGCCTTGAAAGCACGTGCTTGTGCCTTAAGTGACTTCCCAAAACTTGGCTAAGGCAGCCCCCTGGGTACTGCGGCATCGCTGCACCGTGCGGTGGTCGGCTCTTGGGATTCGGAGGCCCTTTACGGAGCAGCAAAGCACGCTGCGCAGGGGCATGTGAGCAGCCCTTGTTCACATGTGGAGCTGGCAAGACCCTGGCCACTGCCTCCCCTCTGCTCAGAGCAGCAAAGAGTAGCGCTGTTGTTTCTGTGCCTTCCCTTTCAAATCTAGAGATTTGTCCTTGTTAACCCTTCAGCAGCAAGCGTGTGGGTGGTTGTTGTCACCCAGGCCCTTGCTAGCACTTAAAGCAGTCCAGGTACGTGTCAAAGCACACCCTGTGCTGGGCAGGATGCTGATGGCTTGCCTGTCCCTACAGGAACTGCACCAGAAAAGGGCCCAAAAGGCTTTGGACGCAAAGCGCTTGGCAGAAGAAGAGATTACGCTGGTGAAGGAGAGCAGAAGGGTAGCAAAGAAGAAGCCTGCCAAACCTGCTTCTGCAAGGAACGTCAGTCCAGCCGGTAGCGTCACCAAAGCCAATAATGCTGGTGAGTCCCTTCTGAAGGTCCCTGATGCTTTTGGAGCAGTGTGTGACATGAGGGGTAAGGAGGAGGACGGAGGAGCGGCTCGCACTCAGGGGAGCTGCTTCGAAGGGGCTGGTTGTTGCAAGTGCCTGAGAACAGTCTGGTTCCTCCAGAGGCCAATTTCCCCGCAGAGCCAGAAGAAAGCGGCCTCGCAGACCTCGGCTCCATGCCCTCACGGGACCCCGGGGTAGAGGACAAGCTGCAGGTGAGTCTGGCTTTACCTCGTGGGGCTCCTGGCCGGGGTGGCTTTGGAGCCTTGGTTGACTTCTGGGGAGATCCGGCAAACTCTTTTACCGCAAGGTGTGTTGTTTTCTCCTCTAGGATGTGAGTTCCAGAGAGACAGGTGGAGAAGATCTGGAGACGGTGGTGACTGCTGTCAGCAGGGCTCAGTCCAAGGTCACTCTCAATGAGCTGCTGGACACGCTCAGGCTGTTGGAGGAAGAGCCAGAGCTGCTGCCCCCACCGAAGCTCTTCAAGAAGGACAGATATGCCTGGATAGACGGGGTAAGCAGAGGGCTGAGGCCGATTGTATCGAACCTCAGACAGTGACAGCTGCCTGGTGAGGGCAGGTTCCCCTATGGGCTGCTTTCTCCAGCACTTGCTGGGTGGTGGAGGGTGAGAAACGCAGCTGGTTCACTGCCAGAGAAGGCAGCAGAGGGGTTTGGAGGCAGCGGAGGGGTTTGGTGCAGCCAGGGCTTGGGTGTTCGCAAGGAGGAGCAAAACTGGGTGAGGGCTGTGGTGGGAGTGGGGTTAGCACAGAGGATAAGGCTGGTTACTGGGGTGCGGTGGGAGGACTGGGCTCCAGTGATGGAGAAGAGCCAGCACCTCTTCTTCCGAGCCTTCCCTTGGGTGCTCATGCACAGCTGTGTCTTCCCAGCAGGAGCCCAGCTCCAATTCCCTGACCGCTGATAACTTGGAGAAGTTTGGAAAGCTGAACCACTCCCCGGGGGTCCCTGAGGACGGGGCCCTGCTCTCGGAGGCCAAGCTCCAAAGCATCATCAGTTTCCTGGATGAGATGGAGAAGTCGGAACAGGAGAGGCCCAGGTCAGCCGCCTCGGCCACGCAGCGGGAGGTGAGTGCTGAGGCGAGAGCCCATGTGTATTGGAGAGGTGGTGCAAGATCCTGGTGCGAGGGGTCTCCCGTCTCCTTGTCCCGGTTCCAGGTGGTCCCCGCTACCTTTTAATCGTTTGGGGTTTTTTGCTGTGGCAGGGTCTCTTCTCGGAAGAGGAGCTGGCTCACTTGGAGCAGGCGTCGGCTGTTGCCACGGAGGTCACGAGCTCCATCATGAGGCTGAAGCTGGAAGTGGAGGAGAAGAAACGAGCCATCAGCCTGCTGCAGACAGCCCTGGTGTGTGAGCCAGATGTGCGTGCTTGCTGGGGAACGAAGACTAAGAGCCCTCAGCAGCTGTTTCCTGGGGCAGTGCCTTTGAAGCACAAGATCAGGGCTCTGCAAATAGGGCTTTCCATCTGCGTCCCCAGCAGCGTACTGCAGTGGTCCCGGAGCTAGTGCCAAGGAGCCGGAGAGCCAGAGAGGCTGCCGGGCATGCCACAGTCCCGGTCGCTGTTAGCAGGGGAAAGACCTGCAAGGCCCTTCCCAGTCTGGTGTGGGCTTCGCCCAGATTTCTCCTTGCTGCCCCCCTGATTTGAAAGGCACTGTCAAACTCCCCTCCCTGGCAGGTACCTGGCTAGTCCAGAAACCCTTGGTCAGGACCTGGGCTGAACTCTCTTTTCCTCTCTCCCACGGGGATTTGGGTGTTCTTGCTGACAGCAAGAAGGTGGGAGTACCAGGGACTTTGGTTTAACTCTGTTCCTCCTTGTTCTGGCCCAACAGTGCCTTCCAGGTTCGGTAGTTATCTCCTGTGCACATGGTGGGGTTGGTGTAACCTTTCCCTCTGAATGTCTTGTGTCTATTTCTTCCCTACATCCCAAAGGCTCAGCAGAGGGAACTGACTGTGCGGCACGTCAAACAGACCGAGAAGGAGCTCGGCCACCAGCTCAGGCTGCAGAGGGAACAGTATGAGGCAGCTATCCAAAGGCATCTGGCCTTCATCGACCAGGTAATCTCTCATCCCAACTCAGACTGATGCTTCTGAAGTCAGAAGCTGAGGTGGCTCTACCCTGCCTGGCTGCCTGATGCCTTTTTTTCACCCTACCCAGCTCATCGATGATAAGAAGGTGCTGAGTGAGAAGTGTGAGGCTGTGGTAGCTGAGCTGAAACAAGTGGACCAGAAGTACGGCAAGAAGATCACCCAGATGCAGGAGCAGCACGAGCTGGTGAGGGGATAGGGAAGGTTGGGGGGGCTGGGAGAGGAGACGTGCCACTGCCAGAGTTGGTTGGTTTCGCTCAAATGGGACCTCTGCCCAGAGCAGTACGGTCTCTCTCACCTCGGTGGTGCCCAGTTGTTGTGGGGGCCATTCTCTGTGCGCAGAAGGTCTGTGTCACCCGCAGAGCTTTGCCCTGGCTCCCCAAGTGGCTGCTGTCCTCTGCTGCCCAAAGTCAGGTGCATGGGACTGAGCAAGAGACAGTGCCAGGTCCCAGGGGCTCTGCTCGGAAAGACCCTTCCCACACATCCTGCTGTGGACAGAGCTCTTCCCTGTCTGGGGGATCTTGTCTCGGCAGAGGTGAAGGCAGGTGCTGGCACAAACCTGAGGAATTTGTACCTGTGGCCGTATCCTCCTGAGCTGGGTGACTTCCAGCCCCCTTTGCAGGAGTGGGGATGCTCTCAAAGCTAAATGAGGACAAGTTTATAAAGGAACGTGGAGTGTATAAGCAATAGTAACAGACCTCTGTGGGTTTCGCTGGGCTGTTGCCCTGACCGGTACCCAGACACACCGAGGGCTGTTTCCCCGGTGAGGATGTGCTGCCTGCTCCTGGGAGCTGGCTGGCAGCTTCCCTCGGGAGCGTGCAGAGAGCTCCCTCTCCCGCAGATGGAGCCAGCTCGGCTCACCCTGGCCGGGAAGCAGTGCCGCTGGCTCGGCTGCGGGGCTCGTCCTGCCTCTGCTGCCCGGGTCCCTGCTCGCCCTTGGCCTTGCAGCCGAGCTCGTGCCCAGGGCTCTGGAGTGGGACAGGCGTTTGCGCCCGTCTGAGCCTGTTCAGACAGACGCCCTCGTGCAAACAAAGTGAAGGTGCCCTTGGCCTGAGTTTTGAGCCCAGCTGAGAGGAAGAAGCCAGCGCAATATTGCTGCGCTTGGCGCCTGGAGGGACCCCTTCCTGTGCTGGGATGGGGCTGGTTTTGCTGCTGCAGCCTGCCCAGGGCAGAGGAGGTGTCTGCGTTACCTCTTGCTCCTCGCTCCCCGCAGAGCAGCAGCACTGGGAGCAGCCCAGGAGCCCGTCTCTGCTCTGCGGTCCCTTCATTGTCCCTTTTCCCGGCTCTGCCGTATGGTTCCCTGCTTTCTCTGCATGGTGGGGGACGTTTGTCCCCGTGGGGTTCCCCTGGTCACTAGAGCAAGCTCCCGACCATGCGGCACGCTCCCCGGCAGCGCTGGCTCTGCCCCCGTCCTGGAGCTGCGATTGCCGGCGGTGCTGCCGGGCCCTCGGTGCCTCTGTGTAACTGCCGGTTCAGCTGCGCCTCCCCTCGCTCCCCTGCCCCTCTGTCCGCCCTGCCCGTGGCTCTCGCGGACACACGGCTGTTTGGTTTTGCCTCTCTCCCCTCCCGTCTCCTCTCTTCCCTGTGATGCTGCGATTCCCCTTCTCTCTCCATCCCCTCCTTTCTTTCTCCCCAGGTCTGGCGCACTTTGGGCCCCTTTTGTGAGGTAAATGTGGTCTTTGCTTTTTTTTTTTTATTTTTTTTATTATTTTTTTTTTGTGCCTTACCCTTCTGCTCTCGTGCCCTGACCTCCTCTGGCTCCCCAGGCGGCTGCAGGCAGCAGGGCTGGGACGGGAGCTCCCCTCCCCGCTCAGCAGCAGGGTCAGCCCCGTGAAGGAGCCCCTTCACCCCGTGCCCCCAAGACCACCTTCTCTGCTGCTGCCTTCAGCCTGTCCCTGTCTTCCCCTGCCGATTTTCCTGCCCTCTTTTCCCCTGAGAGCGAGCCCTGGGCTGTGCGGGTGGCCCCCTGCTATTCCCCGCTCCTCTCCGCACAGCGGCCGTTGGATGTCCTGCCACACGCTTGTCCTCTGGAGCTGTGACATGTCCCCACGTCCAGTATGCGGACATCGTCTGCCTGTGCCAAAACGGAGCCGTTTCTGGCCGGGCTGGGCTTTCCGTTGGGCGGTGCCTTTCTCACCAGAAACCCCAGCACAGAAGTACGTGGTCAAGTGCTTCGACCGGCTTTTGCCAGTGGGAATGCCGGGGAAGAGCTCCACGGGCAGCAGGGCCTGGGTGTTTCTCCAGCCTTTTTGCTGGAGAGGAGGACCAAGGAGGTAAACGCAGGCAGAGGAGGAAGCGAGAGCAGCGGCTGTGCCTGGGCTGTGCAGCCTCCGAGGCTTTGAAGAGTTTTGGGGTGCTGCAGGAGCTTGGTCTGCAGTGGTACCGTGGTGTTGAGAGGTGTGCCAGCCTGCCTGTCTGTCTGTCCTCCTGCCGGAGGGTCTTCCATGCCAGGGAGAGGGAAGGCTGGAGAAGGAGGCATCTTCACACATGACCCTGTGTCTGCTGGCAGATGGACTGACCTACACGCAAGGACCATCGGCAGCCCCGATTCCCCTCTCACATCTCAGCCAGCGAGTGCTTTCCCAAGGGTTTTGCTCTTCTTCCCTGTGCTTAAGATCCGTGGGGCGGCAGCAGCCCCCTCCAGTGAGAGAGAGGAGAAGGCATTGGGAGACCGTACGGCTGCTTCTCTGCATTGGGAGAACATATCCAGGGCTGCGCGAGTCATCTGTGCGCGGCTCGGGGCATCTGCTCTCGCCTGCATCTTCCTTCTCAAGAGCTGGACTCCCAGGCTAACGGGAGTTTTCTCCCCTAGCTTCTCTCTGAAGTTTCCCGTTTGCTTCCAAACAGGAGATTAAGAAACTGAAAGAACTGATGAGCGCAACCGAGAAAATCAGGCGGGAGAAGTGGATTGATGAGAAAACCAAAAAGATCAAAGAAATCACCGTGAAAGGTACGGGCACGTTCCCTTGGTGGTGGCTGGAGTCAGGCTGGTACAGTTTTGGGTCATGTTTGTGGTGGTCCAGGAGAAGGGGCTGTGTCTGCAGAAGCTGCTGGCAGCTCGGGGAAGAGCTGCTCGGTGTGGACAGTCTCTGCTCCCTGTGTTTGGTAGAGAGAGGGCAAGAAAGCCTGTGCACGCTCGCCTCCCCTTTCTTACCAGCCCCTCTTTGGTAGTTGATGTGTTTGCAGCCTCCTTGCCAGCTGGCCAGGGCCGAGGGCCACCGGTGTTGGGGTCCGGACGGCCCCGAGGCCGAGCGGTAACTGTCCTTCCCACTGTCCCAGGGCTGGAGCCGGAGATCCAGAAGCTCATTGCCAAGCACAGGCAGGACATCAGGAAGCTGAAGATGCTTCACGAGGCTGAGCTGCTGCAGTCGGACGAGCGGGCTGCCCAGCGCTACGGCCGGCAGGCGGAGGAGCTGCGGGACCTGCTGGAGCGGGAGAAGGAGGAACAGAGCCAACGGGAGAGGGAACTGGCCCGACAGCGGTACGTCATCATGGGAGGAGGCTTGAGGGTGATTCGGGGCTCATGGCATGGGGGTGGTGTCCACAACCCACTTAGCGGTGGGTTCCCGATATTTGCAGCAGTTAATATCCACGGGGAGCAGCCCCTTTCTTTCCACCAGCTTGAGGCGGGAGATACTGGTGAACCAGGGGCATCCTCCTGAGTTGGACCAGCCCCTGGTCGGCCACAGAAGGGATGGGATGGGGCAGGGTGGAGAGAGGGATGAACGTCCGAAGCCAGGCACGTCCCTGAGGCTGCTCTGCCCCACAGGTGTGAGCAGCAGCTGGAGCAGGAGGAGCAGGCGCTGCAGCAGCAGCGGCGCCGGCTCTACGCAGAGGTGGCCGAGGAGAAGGAGCGGCTCAGCCAGCAAGCAGCCAGGGGAGAGGGCTAGCGGCTAACAGCG